ATCATCCAGTGTCTTAAATCCAGGAAGCCGTCTGCTGGGTTTGACCAAGATCTCACTAAGTTTGAGGAACTCGCTGATGGTCCACCACCAAGCGAATCACCTCCAGCAGCTGCTCCTGAGGAGCCTCCTACGGACAACGATGGTCGGCTCCCGACCATCATAGAGGAGACAGAAGAAGATCTGGATGCTTTTGTCTTGAAGTCGTGGTATGCTGAACTGATGGATGACAGAACACTCCTTGAAGCTGACACAGAGGAAGTCATGCATACAGTTCCTACATACATGACAGACACACAGTGTGTATTAGTCTCTACGACCTGTGAAGATGTGCAAGGCCACTTGCCGGAGCGGGGTCACCCGCCAGGATACGACATGGACACTTCTTACTACGTTCCTTTATGCTCCACGGAACCGGATAGCAAATATGATCTGGACTCCGATGAGCACGGGAAGTATATCGAGCTCTGCTTCACTGCAGACATGTCCAAAGTCGTCCTGTCCGAGCAGCAACACCGACTGTTGGATGACAGCAGCGTCACAACTATGCGAGTATACGTTAGCGCTGCCTCCAAACGTGCCGTGGTCGTCAAGGAAGACGATCTACTCACGAAGGCCGACATCCAAGCAAATCCGGTCAAAGTTTCCAAAGCCCTCTACACAGAGCTGAAGACTTGGCTTGACAACAAATGCTTCCAGATGACTGACTTAAGCAAGGCGTCTAACATCATGACGTCACGCTACGTATACAAATGGAAGTTTGTCAAGAACGAAAAGGGCGAAATGGAAAGGACGATCCGGTTACGCTTGGTACTCCGTGGCTTCATGGACCTCGAAGCCTTTGACGTCGAAACCTTCTCTGGCACGGCAAGGAGGTCAAGCCAGAGACTGCTCGCAAGTTCTGCTGCATGCAACAAAGCTTGGATCATCGCTTCCCTGGACATCAACATGGCTTTCTTGAAGGGACTGACCTATGGCGAGCTCGCCGCGGCAACGGGCGAGAAAGAACGTGTGGTGTGTTTCACACTACCACCTGGATCTGCAGCTGTCCTTCGCACACTGCCAGGCTTTGAGTCATATGACGAATCAAAGCATTGTCTCCGGTGTCTGAAACCGGGGACAGGCACGAAGGATGCTCCCAGGGCATTCTCGCTGAAGCTCAGGTCCATCACTAGGAGCTTTGGGCTACAGCCTACTTCATACGACGAAGAATTCGAGATGAGCCCAAACCTCTTGACAGCCAAGCACGTTGATGACATCAATATGACTGGGAAGGAAGAGGCTATCGACAAGTATGTCAAGTGTGTTGAAGATACGTTTGGGAAGTGCAAACTGAACAAGCACACATACACGAACTGTGCTGTCCGGTACAACAAGACCGATGATGGGAGCGTCACTCTCGACCAGGACGAATACATCAAACAGCTTCGTCCTATCACACATCCAGAACTCACAGGAGCTGATCCTGAAAGCAAGGCGACGAAGACAATTTCTGATATGTTCGTCAGTCTTCGTGGCGCTCTAGCCTATGCGTTGATCACGCAGGTATGGCTAATGGTCTATGTTGTCTCACTACAACGTATCCAAGAACCGACAAACATCCAGGTACGACGACTAAACGCGGTTACCAGAAAATTGCAGGCAGGCCCGAAGAAGATCGTGTATCATGCTATGACTCCAACAGGAGAAGTCGACCTGCATAGCGATTCTGGCTATCGTCGTCTCAACGGAGATGAAGACGACGAAGTCAAAGGCTATGGTATCCGCGGGGCTAACCTGCTGAGGCGTGGCCACACGCAAGCGGGGAAACCCGTCGTGCACCTGGTGGACGCATACTGCAAGTCTCATCGACTGCAAGTGCGTTCGAGCTACTCTGCGGAAACACTGGCAGCAGCCCACAACTTGGAAGACTGCTACCCGACCATTGTAACGCTCCACGAGCTACACTCGGGACCATTGACCCCCACACAGTTGAAGAACATATTGGAAATGGGTGGTCTATGTATCAAAGTCACTCTGACTATTGATGCCGAGTCTGTCTTCAAATCTTTGTCTAGCAAGGATCTGAAGAAGCCCACAGAGTGTACTCTGCTTGGGCACATCAGCTGGATTCGCCAGATGATGGAACGTGGAATCGTGGAAAGCGTCCAATGGTGTGACACGCGGGATATGACTGCCGATGGTCATACCAAAGGTAGCATTGACCGCGCGTTGCTCCTACAAGTAATGGCCGGCCAGCAATCCTTCAAGCACGAGCTGAAGAAACATACGCCGTATAGGGCGGGCAGGTCGTCTCAGGACGGCCCTGCCTCCCGAGCCAGCGGGGAAACCCGCGGGCAGGTGCGCTTTAGCAGCGAGGAAACTCGCCGGTAGCGAGGCTACTCGCGCGCCCTTTCCTTGTAGGCAGCCGCTGCTGCTTAGCACTGTTTTTTCCGCATAATAGAAGTGCGGTACCTGCTCGTCTCCTCCCCCTCCGACTTTAAACGGAGAAGGTTAAAGGCGAGGTATAAATCGAGCATGTACCGCTGCCGTGCCTGGCTCAAGCCGGGCCCGGCCTAATATGTGACTGTGCCTCACCGAGGCGCACTACTTGCATCTGAGATCGGAAAACATCCTTTCCATTGACGATGCCCATCCTACTCTATACTCCAGATCCCATGCTTCGTCTCGCTCTCTTGCTCATGCGCTATGAGCCTAAGCCTGGGATATGGAAGCGCCTAAGGCGGACTGTATACCTAAGCTTACCAGCTTGTTTTCGACTCAGGCATCCAACGTCTTGGGCAAAAGCAAAGTGGAGGGTTGTCGCCGCTTTCGGGCTCCAGGGCCCCCTCGCTAGGCCCCGGGGCCGTCAAGAAACAGCCAGGGTCGAGAAGCGGGCCTTGGGGAAGGGGTCGGGGCTTCCATGGACCCCGTGCCTGATGAAATTTTGGGGCATCAAATTTCTGCCGGACGATCGACATGGGCGCGGAAAGAGTGGGCACAAAGACCGGCAGCATGTCCTGACCATTTGGATCAGGATTTGTTGTCGGTGTCGTCGCTGGCTTTGTCCACTTGAGACAGAACGCCGCTTGCGCAACAACGGCGACTGTCGGTTTTGGACAACATTTGTTGTCGGACATCGTACCCATTTCTGTGCGGTGGGTTCCACAGGGTCCTGCCGTGGATCGAGAGGTTGACATCGACCTCCTCCTCGGTGGAGGCTGGGCGGATGACCGGCGGACCGCCGGTGGAAGCACACAGAGGGCGGCACCGCTGGCGGAGAGCGGGCGCGAAGTCCAGCGTGCGGCCATGAACTTTGGGCTTGGCGTGTCGGGCCGCCGGCGCGCCATGAACCGGGTGCTGCGGCGCGACGCGCTCGCCGTGTCCCAGTCCCCGGGCGTCAGCGTCGCGCGCCGTTCCCGACCTCCCTGCCCGCGGAGCGGGGCGAGGTGCCAGCCGCTTGCGGGGGCCGCCGCCGCGACACGCCAGGCAGAAGTTCCCCACCGTGCCCTCGCCGTGGCACTCGCAGGGGCGGGCGTGCGCAGGGGCAGGACTTTGGGCCCTCGCTTTTGGTTTTGGAGAGTGCAGAGTCGTCGTCCGCCTCGCGCGTCGCCGTGGGCTCTCGCATCAATGGCAGGTCCGATGGCGCTGCCATCGCGGATGCTTTCACCTAGGCCTTAACCGAGCCTCCATGCCTGGCGCAGCAGGGGGTCCTGCGACAAGAAAAAAGCTTCTCAGTCGCCTCCGTATAGATGCAAGCTTGTTGGGGTTCAGCCTTTCCCGCAACTGACAGGGCTGATCTCCACGACGTACACACGCGGTCCAGACTGAGAGGGGTCCTGCGACGTTTTCGCTTTTTCGATATTGCCTCCTGATATCTGTTCGTGTCGGACGTTCGTATCGAACAGAAGCACATCGCACATATTGCCAACATGTCCTTCTGTTTCCTCGGAAGTCCCAATTTGTTTCCCAGGTTTCAGAGATAACGCGCGTTACCCTCCCCCAGACCTCGTCCCCGTAACAGTAACGCATGGAAATCGGCCACAGGCGTGAATCGTTGCAGGTTCCAGAGGACAGGCTAGGTTGTAGGGACCCCCATGCAGTTCTAACGAATCCTAACAGGATTCCTTAGAACCATCCTTTGAAATGGGAGGAGGAAGGAGGGGGAGGAGGAGGAGAATGATGATGATGAGGAGGAGGAGGACGATGATGATGAGGGGGAGGGGACGGGAGAACGAGAAGCACGGGGAGGAGGAAGTGAGGAGAAGGAGGGAGATGACGACGACCCACGTGGCCCGGAGGCTTCCAAAGTTGCACAGGCATTGTGGTGCACACAGGCGAATTGTCGCTGCTGCTGCAGCAGCTGGTGGTGCACGTAGGCGCCGCGGTGCGCATGCACTATAGTGTACTCAGGCGCTGTGGTGCACGCAGGCACTGAGGTGCACACAAGCGCTGCAATGCACATGGCTGTGATGTGCGCAGGCGTTGCGTTGTGCACAGCCGCTGTTGTGCACACAGGCCCTGTGGTGTGCACAACAGCTGTTGCGCAAGCGGCTGCTGCAGCTTACAGAGGCGTTACGAGAAACACAGGCTACGTGGTGCTATGGTGCACGCGGTGGTGTACACAGGCGCTGTGATGCACGCAGGCGTTGTCGTGCACAGGGATTATGGTGTACACATGCGATTGTTGCGCAGGCGTTGCGGGCGCGCCTTGGGGGGTGCACGCCGCGGCATCCATTACCGTTTCCCCCCCCCCCCCTCTTGCCGACCCACCCCCCCCGTAACACGCGTTACCCCAAATCATAAAAGGGTAAAGGAGCGATAGAGCGATTTCCCAGAGGCTTAAGACAGCCACACCACCTACCGTCGCGTTTCTGTTCATGACGCGAGGGGGACCTGGAGTACTAGTAGGCATTGATTATGATTCCCAGATCAGCGCAAAGCGCCGCGGCGCGCGGCGGCCTGCCCGGATTCCGCCGTTACGAGCAGTCTGGCTCAATTCCCCTTTGATTTGGTGATGGCCCATGATCGTTCCTACAATGACCTCCCAGCAGTTGATTCCTTTAGTGTTCGGGTCGGACGCGCGTCTCCAATGTTCGGGTCAGAATTTGCGAACAACTGCAACATCGCGACAAATCACGACCAGAGCCCTACACCCCATCTTTCTGTTGTATTTTTGAGTCCGATCGATCTTTGATGGTCCCGGGGCCCAGAAGCATGCCAAAGCGCCCGTTCTCAGGGTTGTACTATACGTGCTGGTCAGACGTGCGCCTCCAACAGAAGCACAAAGTACATAGTACCAACATGTTTTCCTTGCTTCCAGATCAGCGCCAAGCACTGCGTCGCCCCGTGTGGTGAGTTAGTGGGAACTCGGGGTCACCGCACGGTTTTGGGCCTCGGGTTGTTCTCCGAGGGTGCCTTGGGCGACGGCGGCCTCCAGGGTTCCAAAACCGTGCGGTGACGGACCCTGCGGTGAGGTCTCTTGAGGCTCCGAGGTCACCGCGCGGTCCGTCACCACACGGTTTCGGGACTGTCGTCAAGTGGGTGACGCAGAAGCGCGGGCTCGTCTGCGCCGGCATGGGCGCATGTAAGCTGCCCGCGTAAGGCTTCGCGCAAGTGCCCTCGGTTCCGGTGTGGCGTGCCACACTGGCGGCTCGCGCAAGCCGCCGGCTAAGGTCGCTGTGCCATCTCGCGTAAGACCCTTTTCTTTCTGTCGCCCGAGGGTTAGTAGGTATTTCTACCTCCTGGATCTCCGCCACGCGCAGAACGGGGGGGTATGGGGGAGGGATGGAAGGCTTCTCTGACTTAGTCGCACCCCTGCTTCTCAGAAGCAGCCTCCTTCTAAGAAGCCTCCTCCCCTCCCCCATACCCCCTTCTGCTCGCCGCCAAAGATCAGCGCGAAGCGCCCCTGCGCGGCGGCGCGCGCGCGGCCTTGGCCGCTGCGAAGCGGGGGTGGGGGCGGCGCTGACATGGACGCTGCGGCGCGCGGCGGCGGCCTGTACCGGCACCTTGGGACGGGGCGCACCTACGCGAGGCCTCGGGCAGTGCTACACTTGGTTCGGGGGTGGACAGACCTCCTACCCTGACACGTCGATTAGCGAATTGGCCGTTTTCGGTTCGCGAGAGGGCGTCGCGGCCGTCATTCTTGCGGGTCCAGGTCCGTCGATTTCGGTCCTAGGCCGTTTTCACTAAAGGGAGATTTGCTAAAGGGAGGTTTGTCCACCGCCGATTGGTTGCGCGCAAGAGTTCAGAGGAGGCTAGTGTACCGATATTCCGCTGCCTTTGCTTCGTCTCTGCCTTCTTGGGGTCTCCTGGGATGCACTCGTCGTCACGGCTGGATTCGCGTCGAGATTCAAGTCAGAGTGCACCCCCAGAGAGCTCTGGGGAGTAGCGGTGTTGTGTTTTTTTGTTGGTTCTCCGGGTGAACCTTCGCCCGAGCGACGTTTGGTGCGTGCTCAAAGGGGTCTCCCCAGCAGTGGCCTGCACGCTTGGATTTGGCCCTCTCGCGGCCCCCTGATGACGCGCACCGAAAGGTCAGTTTTGCCCAGGGGCACTCCTGCGTGTAAGCGGCACCCTGATAAGCGGATGCCCGAATGTTCTTGTCGCGGCCGACGAGATCGGTCGCGGCCGAAATTGCCTCCAGCTCTGGGATCGGTCGTGACCGATCTGCTTCAAGGTCGGTGGCGAGTCGCGACCGATCGGCCGCGATCGGTCGCGACCGATCGCGACCGAAACAATCCAGTATCCAATGATCTGGGCTAGGGAGGGGCACCCCCCAGGCATCCAACGTGCAGACTACATACTACATTGTGTCTGCCTGAGCGCCTCGGCTCCAAGGAGCGTTCTGGGCTGTTACCGCTGCCTAGACTTCAGTTATCGCGTGCAGCATCACAGACGCTCTTGGGCAAAAAAGCATCCGACGTCCAGAACCATCAGGATGGAGGTTGACTCGTCGTTCTCGGCCTCCAGAGGCCGTCGCTGGGCCCCGGGACCGTCAAACAACGACTCAGGATGAAGAACCGGGCCTACGGAAATGGTCGGGACTTCTGCGGACCCCGCAGTCCGCCAATCGTAGAGGAACAACATTCAGCAGGGGAAAAAACACAGACACGATTAATCGCCGATCCCCAGGAAAATATGGGAAAACATGGGAAGTGGGGGGAAGAGGAAAACCCAGAACATATATTATATAAGCGGCGTCCAGGGCCCCGCGGCCCGGGGCGGCACACTTTTCCCAAACTTCCCCCCCCCCGTAACCGAATTTGCCCTCTTGGGGTGCGGGGGCCTTTTTTGGCATCCAGGGGCCCGTTCTCGGAGTCCCGAAACTTGTTCCGTTTCCCCGAGGCGTCCACCTAGGCTTCAGGGGACGGCAAGAAGCCGCCAAGACGGTTCAAGATCGCTCCAAGCCGCCCAAGATGGCCCCAGGATCGGCCCAAGAGGCCCGGAAGAGGCCCCAAGATCGCTCCGCGAGGACCTCCAAGAGAGCCCCAAGACGCCAAAATCATTGATTGTAGTGGCCTCCTGCCAGTGCCACCGATCCGGGGCGCTTCGGATGATGATGATGATGATGATGATGATGATGGTGATGATGATGATGATGATGATGATGATGATGATGATGATGATGATGATGATGCTGATGCTGATGCTGATGCTGATGCTGATGCTGATGCTGATGCTGATGCTGATGCTGATGCTGATGCTGATGCTGATGCTGATGCTGATGCTGATGATGCTGATGATGATGATGACGATGACCATGATGCTGATGCTGATGATGATTATGATTATGATTATTCTGATTATGATTATGATTATGATTCTGATGATGGTGATGTGACGATGGAGATGGTGATGGTGATGGTGATGGTGATGGTAATGATCATGATGCTGATGATGATGATGCTGATGATGATGATGATGATGATTATGATGATGGTGATGGTGATGGTGATGGTGATTGTGATGGTGATGGTGGTGATGATGATGATGATGTTGATGATGTTGATGGTGGTGATGATGATGATGATGGTGATGTGACGATGATGATGATGATGGTGACGGATATGGTGATGATCCCGCCCCCTCACCCGCCCTCCTCTCTCCTGTCACCCCCCCTCTCTCTTGTTCCGCCCCCCCCCCTCTCTCTGTCCCCCCCCCCCTCTTCCTGCCCCCCCCCTCTCCCTCCCCCCTCTTTCCTGTCCCCCTCCACCCTCTCTCCTGTCTCCCCCCCTCTCTCCCTCCCCCCCCTCTCTCCTGTCCCCCCACCCCCTCTCTCCTGTCCACCCCCACCCCCTCTCCCCCCCCCCCCCCTCTCCTGCCCCCCCCCCTTTCCCTGTCCCCTCCCCCCCCCTCCTCCCCCCCTCCCCCCTCCCCCCTCTCCTTCCCCCCCCCTCTCTCTCTCCTGTCCCTTCCACCCCCCCTTCTCCTGTCCCCCCCCCCCCCTCTCCCCCTCTCTCCCGCCCCCCCCTCCCCCTCTCCTTGAGGCTGGCAGGGGGGGGGGAGGCGCCGAGCACTTAATGCGTGAGTTCATTACGCCCCCCCCCTCCTTCCCTCCAAAGCAGAGCTAAAGCCCATGCTGAAGCAGAGCTTCAGCTTAGACTTTTTAAAACAAGCCAGATCTTCATCGTGTTTTCAGCACGTATTGCTTTCTCACGTTTTCGAGCGGCCGAAACTCTACGACTGCCCAAGAGGCCTCCAACGTGGCCCCAGGAGCTCCCAAGAGGCCCCCAAGACGGCCCAAGAGGGCCGCATGATCGGCCCAAGAGGCCCCCAAGACGGCCCAAGAGTGCCTGAAGAGGGCCTGAAGACTGCTCCAAGATGGGATGGACCCAAGAGAGGGAACGCGAACCGACCTTTCGAGCTTCCCGCCCCCCAGAGGCCCCCAGGAGGCCCCAAGAGGTCCCCAAGTGGCTCCAAGAGGCCCCACAGATGCCTAAGAGAGGTCTGACAAGCTCTACAACGCCCCCGTGGAGGCTTCAAACCTGCTTCCAAAAGGCCCCCCGAGAGGCATCCCACGATATCATCCCAGCGAACATCCGAGAAGCCTCTAACCCACAACTCAGACACGGTGGAGGGATGGGCCGAAGGCATCACGAGGCAAGACATAATGATTTCCATTCATATTTGGACTGTGGCGTTGTCTGGCAGGAGAAGGAGGCGGAGGAGGAGGCGAAGGTGGAGGAGGAGGAGGAGAGAAGAGAAGGAGGAGGGAAAGGATTGCATTAGGAAGGGGAAGAGGAATCTGTGCGGGGACGGGGATGCCGAGCATCACCCGTCAGAAGCGAGGGGCAGGACGCCGGAGGGAGGAGGGCGATTCGAAGGAAGACGAGTGGAGCAGGGAGTCAGTGGCCGCGGGCGGTCGGAAGGGGAAAGAGGGGGGAGGCCCAGGATCATGTCACTGTCGACGAGGAGGAGAGAGGAGGGAGGAGGAGGAGAAGGAGGAGGAGGGGGAGGAGGAGGAGGAAAGGAGGATGAGGGAGGAGGACAATGAGGAGTCAGAGAGGGAGGCGGATCAGAATCTGGAAACTTGACGAGGATTACCCATAGAGGGAAGAAAGGATGCCATAAACGAGGACGAGGGAGAAGGAAGCCCTCACACCAGGAGGGCACCGCGAATTAGCAACAGGATGGGGATGCCGAGGATTATCCGTAAGTGCGGCACCGAGAACCCACATGGACGTTGCTTCCTTCAAGCAACTTGCTTGGTGATGTGCCTGGTGCCGTGCCGTGGGCTGTGCAGCGTGCCGTGCCGAGTACCGTGCTGGTTGCCGCGCTGCCCGTCGGAAGAGCCCCCCAAATGCCCGAACAAAGGCGCCCTCTGCCCCAAGAGGCCCCCAGGAGGCCACAGGAGACTCCCAGGAGGCCTCCACGACGCCCCAAGAAACCCCCAAAAGGGCTCCAGAAAGACCCGAGAAGCTCCCGAGAAACCCCCACCGAGCTCGCAGGAGGCCTCCACACAGACCCTCAGACGCCCGCCAGAAGTCCTTCGTCCTCCATGCTCCGGAACAGCCCTTCGGAACACGTGGCTCTGACTGCACCCCCCGACCCGCCCACCCAATGTCGAGGCCCGAGGACGCTCCGGAAACGCCTCTCCCGCACACGTGGACCAGGTGACAATGATGCTGATCGTCGGTGGTCCGTCGTCGTCTTCGGTTGTCGCTGGTGCGCTACAGGCCAAACCCTCCCTTGAATTTCGCAGTATCTGCCCGGAAATCAGGCATGGGTGAAAGGGGGAACCCAGAAGACCACATGGAAAAGGTCCCATGGGAACTGACACCGTCTTTGGAGTCGACTAGAACCTGAGCGCGCGCGAAGCGCGCGCGTGGTTCTAGTAGGAAAATATAGGGCATCCTGTGATTTGTGTGTATTCATTTGTGTGTCCCTGGGCCCGTTAAAACATAGCAGAAGTATCAATTTCTCTATCTCTGGGTGGATTTTTTGGATCTGCGTTGGGCCCCCCCTGGCAGCGCCTCTGGCGCCGCCCCTCGCGCGCCAGGGAGGTGGATGCCAGCGCAGATCTCAGAAATCCGTGCGGACCTTCATTCCCAAATGATTAGCGTTTCGCTCGCGGGCTCTCGTAGTGGTAAAACAGGAGATCAGAAGAGTCTCATAGGGGGGACGGGGAGCCCTAGACCGCCTGATCCAGCAGCCGTCTCGCCTGGGAGTTCCTCGCACTGGATTCCGGATTCGTTTTTTTTTTTTTTTTTTTCTTCAAGGCTAGTTGCATGTATGGTCTTGGCGGCCACGACTGTTTGTATATATATATATATATATAACATGATAGAAGGTGGACATTGCCGGGCTCTGACCCCTTCCAGCTGCACCTTTTCTTTCTCAGGGCTTCAGGGCCATGGGTCTCCTACCCCTCGACCCGCCTCTTCACCTTTGCTGCTGCGAGGGTGCTTTGCTGGGGTGATGTTTTCTCCAATCCGACCTTTCTTTCCTCGATGTCGGCCTCGGGGGCCCGTCATCGGTCCCCAGGGCCATAACAAACGGATCTGGGGTAGAAGACAACCCCCAGGGAAGGAGTCGGGACCACTGGGACCGCGCATGGATAACGGGCGTAGACATATACCCTTCCGGAGCTCCCCGTGGATTTCTTGGATCGGCGCTGGAACTCGCTGGAGTGACCTCTGGGTGCGGGCTCAATGGGGTCCCCCGATCGCTGAACGCGATGCGATAGCAGCGACTTGCGCGCATGGGTTCGTCCCCAAAGTGCCCGCCCTGAAGCCGCGCATCACAGGCCACCCTTGCCTATTGTGACTCTTGTGTGTGGCCGATGGGGGGGCCACCCCCGCCTCCTGGAAATGGAGGATCGGGGCGGAGGAAGGCTCGCAGACCGAGGAGGTGTTGGAGGTTTTGGGGGGGGGCGTCATCTGGGGGTCACGTGGGGAATCCCGCGAGGTCCAGCGAGGTCCGCTTCCTCTGGGGGGTTGGTCCCCCTTGGTGGTGCCCCTTGGCATTGCCTGCAGGCTGGGCGAGGCCTTTGCGCACCCAGACGGCGCACGGGAGGGACGACTGGACGTCGTCCTGGGGGAGGCTCGGCGTGGGGCACCCGAAACGGGGCAGACAGCACATGAGGACAGCAGGACCCACCCCTCTTCGTCGTCGTCCTCATCCTCCTCAACCTCCTCATCCTCCATCCCTTTTCCTTATGATCTTCCTTGTCGCACCCTGAGACGTGTGGGTAGGGCGAGCCGGGCGTTTCGTCTGCGATGTCCTCACCATGTATGATCATCTGAAAGTTCGCAGCAGCTTCACGGATGGAGAGCGGGCCGTTCAAAATGTGGTTCTCGCCTTAGCGTAGAACACATTCTTTTTATTCTTATAGTCTGTGAGAGTTTCACGGATGGAGGGCGGGCCGTTTTCAAGATGCTGCTCTCGCCTCGGCGCCGCGCAAATTCGCTTACGAGAGCCTCACGGATGGAGGGCGGTGCCTTTTCAAATTATGGTTCTCGCATTAGCGTCGCGCACACTCTTCGTAAGAGATACGACAGTTTCAAGGATTCTGATGGCTGGCGTTCCAGAAATTGTGTGTTGGCACGATGTAGGATTGCCAGGGCGCAGCAGTTAAGTTATTTCGCAGCATTGAAATCCAAAGAATAGCGGTTTGGCACGACTCAGGATCGGCAGGACGCAACAATAACGTTGATTGGCGGCGTTGAAGTCCCAGGAATGGCGCTCTGGCGCAGTGCAGGATTTTCAGACGGTCGTTTCCAACAGGGCATTTCCCTCAGTGAATGACTAGTTGTAGGGACCTGTGAAGAGGGGTCGAAGGGAGGGTTTATTGCAACCTCGTTGAGGAATCTTGGGTTTGCACTGCGCCTCCTGCACTGCAACCTCGTTGATGAATCTCGGGGATACATCGACCCCGTATCGCCCACTGATCGCCGATAGGAGCCTGATAGCCCACCCCGCACAGGAACGTGCGGAGTCGCTATTGAGGCCCTGGCTTTGATTTATACTGGTCGGCGGTGTATCGCCGATTCCAGCTCGATGTTTCCCCCCTCCCTGAGCCGGTCCCCTGGTGGTTCTCGGGTCACAACTCGGGCCTCGGGAGGCCCTTCGGGATGATACTCAAATTTCCCAAACGCTCTCGGCGAGGCACTGCTGCTGGAAGACGCCCCGAGGCTGGAAAGCCGCCGAGAACCGACAGAAACGTCCGAAAACGTCAAACCTCCATCGCCTTCATCGTCGTCGCCGCCGTCGCCGTCGTCGTCGCCGTCGTCGTCGCCGTCGTCGTTAGCTCGATCTCTCGAGGTGGCGCCAGCGACATACCCAGACATGCGACGTCCTGATCTTTTCAGGACGGCGTCCCCCGAAGTCCCGACCCTTTCCCCGGGATCGGTTGTTCATCCTGAGTCGTTTTTTGACGGTCCTGGGGCCCAGGGAGGGCCCCTGGGTGCCGAAAATAGCGAAAGATTTCCGCCCTGATTTTTTGTGTGACGCGATCATGTCTGGGGTGACGCGATATTTCTGGAGGTCAGCGCTGAAGCGGCGCCGGCCAGCACGGGGGCGGCGCCGGCTGGGCGGCTGGTCACGGTGCCCTTCGCGGAGCTGCACGGCAGCGGCGCGGCCGCGCCGGTCCTGGAGCGCCTGGAGCCCGGCGGCGGCGGGCACGGCGTCGGTGGCACGGGCTGGTTCGGTGTGGCCACTCCTGGGAGCCTCGGGTGTCCTCGGAGCTCCATCGCTAGGTCTCCCAGGTGGGGTCGGAGTAATTGGATGGGGTCGGAGGATGCGGCTCGATGTGGGGCCCAATATTCTCCACGCTGACGTCGCCGATGCGTCGCCGACGTCGCCGATGCATCGCTGGTGCATCGCCGGTGCATCGCAGATGCATCGCCGATGCATCGCCGATGTATCGCCGATGCATCGCCGATGCATCGGCGATGCGGCTCGATGTGGGGCCCACGCCGACGTCGCCGATGCGTCGCCGACGTCGCATATGCATGGCCAGTGCATCGCCGATACATCGCAGGTGCATCGCAGGTGTGTCGCCGATGCGACGCGATCTTCCGACCCCATGTACTCCGACCCCATCTAGGAGGCCTCTACCATCTCGAGAGTGCATTCGCGTGCGCTAGCGTTCTTGGCAAGCGATGAGAAAGCGCAGGCTTCGCGTCGATCAGCGTCTCTTGAGCGTCGACCTGCGCCGATTGGTGTCGATCGGTGTCGGTGTAGCATCGACTAGGGTCGACTGGCATGGAGTCGCAGAAGCCAGCAAGATGGCATGGGAGGCTCCCATGAGTTGCCACAGAAGGCCAGAACTCGAGCGTGCTCGTGGTGCCTCGAGGAGGAGGGGGAGGAGGAGGAGGAGGACCTAGATCAGTGGATACCGGAGTTTATTCGGCCGCGATCGGTAGCGACCGATCGGCATTCCAATTCGGTCGCGGCTGATCGCGACCCATTTCCAAACCGGTCGCGACCGACACCAGACTTTCAAGCAAAATCGGTAGCGACCGATCTCGCCGGTCGCGACCAGAAAAGTCAGGTATCCAACGATCAGGGGAGGAGGAGGTTCGAGGTTAGAGCATCGAGCTTGAATGTTTGATCGTTTTTGGGGCCTCCAGGGAACTCGCCGCCACAGCTGGATTCGCGATTCAGATTCTGTCCGGAACGCTCCCCGAAGCAGGTTTGGGGCCTCGAGCGTCTGCGGCCTGCTTCGAGGAGGAGGAGGAGGAGGAGGAGGAGGAGGAGGAGGAGCAGGAAGTTCGAGATTTGCAGTCTCGAGCTTCGATTGTTTTTGGACGGCTTTCGCCCTGTCTGGACCTACGGGGGGCTCCTCCTCACGGCTGGGTCCGCCTTGAAATTCTGTCCAGAACGCACCCCAGAACACGATCAGATTTTGTGTTTTGACTCTTGGCCCCTGATTTCGTTCTCGCGTCGAGAAGAAATCGCGATGGGAGTTAGGGTCCGAGTAGACGGGGTCAGAGGAACGCGCCGCTGCTCCGACGCATCGGCGATGCGGCTCGATGTGGAGCTCGATCTTCTCCACGCCGACGTTGCCGATGCATCGCCGACGTCGCCGATGCATTGCCGATGCACCGTGGGAAAGTCACGCGTCGTGAGAAAGTCACGACGGCAGGTCTCTGGCAGTTTTCGGGCGGAAACAGACCAGCCCTGGGGAAAGGGTCGGGACGTCGGGGGACCTCGCCTTGAAATAGTCAAGGCATCGGATCCCGTGGCTGGGACCCCTGGTGGGGGGCCAGCGGTATCCACCACCTGCTGGGGTCCTGGGAGGTCGGTGCCTCCCGTGCTCGTGTTTCAGGGCCAGGTTTCCCTCGGCATTCAAAGGCAGGACTGGTCCAGGGGTCTACCCTGGGCCCCCAGGACGCGTGCCGTGCTGGGCGGCGGCGGCGAGCCATTTCTCAGATGCCAGTTCCCAGAGGGGCAAGAAAACACCTTCGAAACGGAGGTCCGGCCTCCGTTGTGGATGTGTCGTGCCTCCATCCTGGAAGCTTCTTCCTCCAGGATGGAGGCACGACCACTCCGACCCCCTCCTCGGCAGTACGTCCAGCACTCGTTTCTGATGGCCCCGTGGCCTGACGGCGGGCTGCGTGGAGGCCGACATCGACAAAACGATCCGGGCTTCAAAATACAGGTACACGCCGGTCGTTAGAAGTATGTCTAGTAGTTTCCCAGATCCCAATCTACCGTAAGCGCCTTCCTACTTCACGAGTCGAGCGGTTTTCCCTCTTCCCTTCTCTTCAGGGGGCGGGCGGAAGCCCAATCTACTTCCAACGCCTTACTACTACATGCTTCTACCCGCTTTTTCCAACCCACGGGTATCATATCGTCGGAGATCTTGGTCCATCTGGCTGAGCCGTTTGACAATTGTGTGGAGCCGATGGGTTCTTGATGTGCGACTCTTGGGATGTAAGATTCAGCCTCGGCGCTGGTATATGCCTGGTCGAACACTGGCCCCATTCTGTTCAATCCCGCTCAATCCGGCCTGATCGTGCCGAATCCTGGTCCTAATTTGGACTATGTCGGCCCAGTGGCCCCTTAAAAGTCGGGGTTGATGGCCTGTAAATGATCGTTCGAAGGCCTCGTAGGAGTTGCCTCCTAAGGGCCCTCGAGATGCTAGAAGGGGCGCTGACTGGCTTCGCGCTTTGTGCGAAATGCCCGCAGGCGGCGGAGCCGAAGCCGTGCTCGGCGTGGGTGCCCCCAGGTACTACCGGCACTTCAAGGGCAAGCTGTACCAGGAGCTCAGGGGAAACGTCAGGGGGCGACATGCTAATGTCTAAGCTGCAGTCGTGTGTCTGGCGCAGATGGGTCGGTGGTTGGAGGCGCAGTCGTTCATCAGTCGCGCAACTACTGTTGCGGAGGGCACGAACTATTGCACGGAGCATGCCTTTTGTGTGTGAACGAGACACTAAATTGAGTCCGGGCGGAATTATTGCATGCAGGCGCCAACCATCGCGAGTACTATTGCACCTCTCCCCGCGGACCCATCTGCATAAGACCCAGTACTCCAGCTTGGTCCCCCGATAGGGGCCCCCTAGCCCACCCCGCCCAGGAGCTCGTGCCGATTCGCTATCGGGGGCCTGACGCAGATCTATCGCCAACGTATCGCCGATTCTGGCATGATGTTTCTGCCGCTGGGCAGCCCCCCTGACGTTGCCCCTCAGGAGCTCGGCCGCGCGCAGAGCTTGTCCGGCGGCGGCGAGGAGGTCACGTCAGTCGTTCGATTATTGGCCTATGGTTCCTTGAGATCTGGGCGTGGCATCTCTTTTCAGAACGGGCCCCGAGACTAGCACAGATCGATCCGACTCAAACATCGCAGCAGAAAGATGGGGTCTAGGTCTCGGGTCGTGATCTATCGCTGTGGGGTTTCGCGCAGAAGGCCGGCGGAGACCGCCGACAACCGTCGAATCTCTGGATGTTACTACATTCGAAGAAGACACAACTGCTGAAGCTGAAATTTTGGAGCTCCGCGCGGGCTATTCCTCAAATGTCAGTCGTTCAATCAGTGACCTCGATGTTTCGCGCAGAAGATCGGCGGAGACCGCTGACATTTCTTCGACGAATCGGGTGTTGTTAGAAGCGGATCCAGGCCGAGGCGGTGCCGGGGTCTGCGCCCCCCCGGATGCGCAGTTTCAACCAAGAAGTACGATCGAGCGAACAGCGTTACTCACCTGGCCTTCGGGGGCCTTCGGCGGCATTCTTGAAGACTGCGGGGGGCCACCGAAGGCAGGTGAGTACTTATCGTAACCAGTCGTTGTCGACTGCGCGGGCATTTCGCGCACACATGCCCGCGTGAGCTGAGGTCGTGTGCACAGTGTGTGCGCAGCGCCCTTCTTCCAGGTGATGCGTCTCGCCAGCAGCAGGCGTAAGCCAGCGCGCCAGGTCGCCGAGTCCTCGCCGACCCTGTGCCCTTCGTTGCTCGCACGGGTGTCGAAGAAGAGGACGTGCATACACATAGACATACATTGGATGTTCGAAGGTCCGCCGCGCGGTTTTTTCGGATTTGCCATGGGCCTCCCTGGCGGCGGCTACGGGGCCGCACCTGGCACTCCGCGCGCCAGGGAGGGGGGTCCAGCGCCAATCCACGACATTCGCGTGGGCCCTCGAATGCGTAGGTCTATGTTACTTGTTGTCTCTAGGGTTACACGGATTCCATGGTCGAACACATAGTAGATAAGGCGGTCTTGCTTGCCCCCCATTTCGGCGGCGCGCCGAGGGGGATATGAGAGGGGGCAGGCCTCCTCATCAGGCGGCGGGCCTTCTCAGAAGCCCTACTGCCGTCTGAGAAGCCCCCTGCGACCTCGGAGAAGGATCAGCAAGCTTCTCAGAAGGCCGGAGACTCTCTGAGCCTTTTGAGAAGGCCCGCCACCTCTTCCTTCCCCCCTGGCACGGAGGTCCGACGTCGCGAAGAGCATAGATAATTTTAGAGAAACGCAAACGGAGCGCTAGATCCGCGCTGGGCCCCATCTTTCTGTTGCATTTCTCGAGTCGGATCGTTCTATGATTGCCACAGGGCCCAAATCACGGCCGAAACGCCCGTTGTGAACAAACCTTCGACGCCACGATCTCAGGGTTCCCTCTGGGAGCGCTGCCTATCATCATCACCAGCCCCCTCAACCGAGTCGTCTCGTGAAGCTCCGCGTCCACTGTCCAGAATTCTTGTCGCTTCGCGCATTCCCACCAGCCCCTCGAAAGGAGTCACCAGGAAAGCTGCCCTGATCAGGGATGTGCTGCAGCATGAAGCTGCGCCCCAGGAGCCTCTAGGAGGCACCTCGGGGCCATCGTGGGGCCGTCCTGGGGCCATTTTGGATGCCTTTGGGGCTCTCTTCTTCTGCGACCGCTTGCGAACCCTAGCCCTGCGGGTCCAGTGGACGCTGGGGTATCGGACACACCCGCTGGGTTTCACCTTGCTGCAGACATCCTGCGAATTCTGAACACCAGCCAGCGTTTCAGAAATCCAACCTTCAGGGGTACGGTTGGGGCGCTCGTTAAGGAATGTGCCCAGGAGGCTTCAGACCTTGCATAATTCTTTATCTGATGAGGGCGGCGGTGATATCCATTGCCAAGCCGCAGTCTCAGATGGTGTTCCACGTAGTTTTCATATGTGGCTGCATACTTGTGAAGCTCCGCGCCCTCTGTCCAGAATGCACCAACCGTTGCGGGAGAGACTCCGGCTGTGAAAAAGTAGGTCGAATGAAAGCTAATCTCGGAGGAACACCTGGGGACGACGGGCCCAGCACTTCTCCTCACACGCGCGGACAGGGTCGCTCGCAGGGAGGCGAAGCGCCTTGGCCGCACACACCCTCTGGTAGAGGGATCAGCTATCACTACTGCCGGACAGTGTATGGATTTCGCGCGTATGTGATACACCGGATAGACCCTTGAGACCCCCTTTGGGTAGCCTTGCAGAATGATGCATCCCAGCGATCTTTCTCGGTGTCGGCCCTCGGGGGCCGTTAGCGGGCCCTGGGCCCACTCAGCAGGTGCTGGGGGAAGCGATCGGGACCTCTAGGGCCGCATATTGATGAGAAGGGACAAAGAACAGATCGGCGGGAGAAAAAAACAAAAACCCTAACCCGAAGAACACAATGAAGACGTCGCCGAACTTGGGTTTCCGTGCCTGCATCAGGGATGATACATTTGGGTGGTTTGGTTAGATATGTCTTCAGGAAAGCACCCCTACCCCTAATGTTCTTGCCCGCCTAACCCATGCCATTTCCCAAAGGGTCCGGGGTACTTTTGTTGCTTATCACGAGAGCCTCCGGAGACCTCCGAGGCGGAGGTCGATCGAGGGGGGAGTGGGTCACGGGTCCGCGCCAGGATCCAGGGGTTCCGCGCCGTCGCGGCCGGAGCCAGCTGCCGGCTCCCTCCGGCGGGCGGCAGCGGCGGGGCCAATGGACGGCCCGCGGGGCTATCCGTTCGACTACACGTCAGAGTGACCATTCGCCGGAGTGGCCTTCGGTGCGTGCGGACCCACTGGGGTCCCCCGAGCGCCGAGCGCCATGCAATAGTAGCGTGTTGGGCGTTTAGGCTAGGCCTCCCGGCGCAACCCCATCGCTGCGCATCAAGCGTCATTCTTGCCTGGGGTCTCTCCAGCGTGGAGCCGTGCAGCCAGTCTGTCCAGGATCTACGAGTGTACATTCGCCAATGATACCTAGCCTTGGCCAGAGCCGAGCCGAATGCTCGTGCTGGTGTGTTCTGGGGGAGGGGGTGAGGACTGCAGGGAGGTGGCCCAGAACGGCCCCTGAGCTGCCACCGCGGGCCCCAGAGGTGTACACTTCCGCACCCCGAGTGGGTTGCCCACCCGTGGACATCTGGCACCAGGCGGGTTTGGGCGGGTGTGAATCGTGGTGGTTGGCTGGGGAGCAGCAGGGAGCAGGGCGAGCGCTTTCTGCGAGGTCGTCTACCGCACGCTGTACCCATCATCGTACGCGCTGTTCACGCGTCCAAAGTCCAACTTCGAGGGCGAGGCCGGGGAGAAGGCCCCTGGCAAGCGGCGGTTCGAGGACCTGGGATGCACAGGGTCCACCAGCCCTCTTGCTCCGTGCCTCCATCTCTTCCTTGCCCTCCCTTCCCTTCCCCTAATCAGGCACCATCTGTCCGCAGCTCTTCTCGAGCCAAATCGATATGTGAGGGTCTCGGGGCCCGAGGCCCGGCGAAAACGCCCAGAGCAAAAAAATCGCCCAAATATCAGGGGAAACCAACCCACAAGTCGTCACAGCACGAATCCGCCGCAGCAATCGTTCGGCGGCGCGCCCAGAGGTGAAAGCAGAAAGGAGGGGCCTTTTAAGAAGGCTCAGAAGGCCTGCGGCCTCCTGAGAAACTTTCTGAATAACTGAGCCTCCTCCAGAGACAGTGGCGGCTTCTCGGAAGGCCAGAGGGCCGGTGGGTTTCTGAAAAGCCCCATTCGCCTCCCCCCTCGTGCTTCCCCCCTCCGCCCAACGAACAACCCAGAGATCCGATGTCTTGCTTTTCTCAGTGCGGGGCCACACAGCAGTCCCGACCCCTTGCCTCGGGGCCGGTTCCGCGGCCCTGCGAGGGCCTCCAGGGCCGAGAAATCGTCGAGAAACCGCCGCCCTGATTTTTGCAGTTCGTGGGACGTTTGGGGCCGCGCAGGGCGTCACCGCACGAGCCCCCCGCAGCAGTGGCCCCTCCCCGAGCGCCCCAGGAGGTGAGCCCGGAGGAGCTGGGCGCGGATGCCGCCGCCCGTGCGCAGAGGCCGTGCCTGGCTCCGCCGCCGGCGCCGCGGGGCCGCCCCGAAGGGGCAGGGCCCCGTCCTGCGCTTCGGCCCCGGACCCCCCCCATGCTCCAGGCCTCCTGTATGGGGTCCGAGCAGATGGGGTCGGAGGATCGTGCCGGCTCGATGTGGGGCCCACTTTTCTCCACGCCGACGTCGCCAATGTATCGCCGATGTCGCCAGCGCAGCGCCGGTGCATCGCCGATACATCGCCGATGCATCGGCGATACATCGGCGATGCGGCGCGATCCTTCGACCCCATCTACTCGGACCCCATGCAGGAGGCCTCTAGATATATGAAATGAAGACATGACGGAATGTGTCTCGCTATGCTCTGCTTCTGGGGGCCCGTACCGGGCCCCGAGACCGCCAGACAACGCTTCGGGATGAAACATTGGTCCCGGGAGATGAATCGAGACTTCTGGGGGTCGACGTTGTGAAAAAAACATGACGTCGAGGGTCTGGCGGCGCTCAGGTTCAACGTTATCAGGGTTCGAGGTTCGAGGCTCTCTGGCGCGTTTCGCCGAGGGGCCTCTGGGGCTGCCCGCATCGTCCCGAAAGGCTGCCGGAGCGCCGAACCATAACGGCCTGAAAACCATGGGGCAACGTGAATTGGGGATAGGCGCAGGGGGGGACGCATTGACCCCCAATTGCCCCTTCATCTCCGATGGTGGCCCGGTGGCCCACCCCGCTCACGTGAGGACTCGCAGTCGGGGTCCTACTGCCGATGCATCGGCGATGCATCGTCGATTCCAGGCCGATGTTTCCCCACCTGAGCCGGTGGGCGCCTCGCGCGCTGGGCGGGTCAGCGGTCAGTCGAGGTTTCGCCCGGGGCCAGCCCGTGGGAGCCTGGTGGGCGTCTCGCGCGCTCGGGAAGTCAGCCGTGGTTCCCGCCAGTGGTCCCCGCAGGCGCCTCGTGGGCGCCTGGTGGGCGCCTCGTGCGCTGGGTGGGTCAGCCGAGGTTCCGAGTGGCGCCCGTCCGTGGACCCCTCGGGGGCGCCTCGTGCGCCTGGTGGGCCAGCCGAGGTTTCGCTCGGTGCCCACCCCTGTGCGCCTGGTGGGCCCCTCGTGGTCGCCTCGTGCGCTGGCCGACCACCTCGCTTGGTACCAAGTAGGTTCCACCGCATAGCTTGCACCACACAGCTTACACCACATATCCGATTCGAATCTTCTAGACGTCATATTACCATGGGTGCCTTGCACATATATTGCACTGCATAACGTGCAACTCCTACTACACAGCATTGCTGACACGACATCTATTGCAGTAGTTTGCGCCACATATCTTGTACTACCTATACTGCACTACATGGCTTACAGCACGTAGCTTGTACCACGCAGCTTATACATACGCATTTCAATCAGTTGCTGGTTGTGGTCCGGTCCACGCTGGCAAACGCTCGTATTTTCATATTCCCCCCCTCGCCTCGGTAGACACACCTTCGCAATTAGGTCTTGTGTCGCAGGGGCCCTCTCAGAGCACATCTGAGTTTTCGGCGGTGAGGGCGAGCACAAGAAGACACAGCAGACTGACATCACCAGTCAGAACCAACCAACATGAACACGCGAGTGGCTCGCCGCTGTCATGCCATCACGATCTGGATCCGTATGTGAATCGACATGTGGCTGCTTCACTGTGGATGGTTTCAAATGCTCTTTGGTGCGTTGGAGGCTGAGCCAGTGTGCAACAACAGTTTGAAATATCAGCATGTGAGCCCGAAATTCTCAAGCACTACTTCGTAATCCCAGACGGTGGTTAGCGGGGCGGGGTCCTGTGCAGGCCGTCTGCAAGAGCGGCCAACTACCATTTCGAGGCGAAATGATGGCTATATGTTTGTGTTGATAGAGATCGTGACTCGCGACTGCGCCGGCGGACAGCAAGACAGCAATAACCTCCATCGCACCAACCGCCAAGGCGTTCATTCAACTCTGGGCGCTGTGCTTATCCCTGGCCATCCCATCCAGAAACGATGCCCATGGGAGTTGTTCAGAGGAGATGCGGAGGTGTACACAGAGAGACGCATGGCGGCCAACACCCGATGAAGAAGGCCATCGACAGGAGCTACTGGCGGCGACTCAACAGGAGGATCACTCCTTGCACCTCGAGGGCCCCATCGAGATGCCCAGGGCCCAGAGCGCTCCTGCGGGTCAACGGTGCCCTCTTCGAGGTCGGGGCCGTGGCCGCGGAACAGATCAGGCGCAGCGGAGGCGAGCTGACCATGAGCAAAGCTCCGCGGGGCAACCTGGCTAGGAAGCTCATGCCCAAGAGACGCTGAATTAATATCTAGCGCAGCGAGAAGAGCCCACCCGCAACAGGGGACACGCCCCTGTTACCCGTTACGCTTTGTGGTGGATGCGTTACGCCGTGAAGTCAGTCATGACAGACTACATGGTCAGCTACGTGAGTGGAGTGTCTAGATAGAATGCAGGCAGTTTGCCTTCTCCGCTCCTCGTCGCATCCCCCTGCGCGTGCCCCTTGCCTGGTTCCTGGCCTGGTCTCGAGGACAGCTCGAACGATGAAGATTGCGGATTTATTTTCCGGATCACCTACGGCAAGGCATTTTGGTTTCCGTGAGGCATTCGAGAGGTTTTCCCTCCTCTCCCGATCTCGAGGCCCCATCCTTCGGCTTAGAGTCAGAGGTGGACGGCTATGCTCCCGTGCAGCGACCCCTGTGTTGCACGGTCATCTGCCACTCTCGCGAGCGCACGGTGTTCTTGACGGTGCTGCGAAGAAGAGGGTGACACGCAACACGTCGTTTTACCCCCCAGGTTCACGAACACGCCTAGTGATAAGAGATATTGAATCGAAAGGCGGAGAGCGAGCAGAGCTCCTCCCCTTCTCCTCCTCCTCTTCCTCCTCCTCCTCATCCTTCTCCTCCTCTTCCTCCTCTTCCTCCTCCTCCCCCCCATCCCTCCTCCCATCCTTTTTTCTTCCCTGCATATGCCTTCATCTCATCACCGTCATGCGCACCCGCACCCGGTTCGCACCCCGAATCGCACCCCCCATTGGGAGTTTGGAGTTTCAGCTCCACCGCAGGCCCCAGCGGCAGGGTCCGCATGGCATACCCGCGACCGACTCGGCACACCTCTCACACGTTCCGTGGCCCCAGCGGGAGCTCCACCGAAGACCCCAGCGGCAGGGTCCGCATGGCGCACCCGCATCCGAATCAGAACACCCCTCACACGTTTCGTGGCCCTGGGGAGCTCCACCGCAGGCCCCGGCGGCACGATCCGCATGGCGCACCCACAGCCGATTCAGCACACCTCTCACACGCTTCGTGGCCCCATATGGAGCTCCACCGAAGGCCCCAACGGCACGGTCCGCATGGCGTACTCGTGCTCGATTCGGCACACCTTTCACGCGTTTTGTGGCCCCATAGGGAGCTCCACCGAAGGCCCCAGCGGTAGGGTCCGCATGGCGTACCCGCGTCCGGTTCAGCACACCCCTCACGCGCTTCGTGGCCCCATAAGAGGGCTCCCCGCAGAGGGAGCTCCACCGAAGACCCCGTAGGGTCCGCATGGCATACCTGCAACTGATTCGGCACACTTCTCATTCGTCTCGTGGCCCCACAGGGAGCTCCACCGAAGGCCCGGGCGGCAGGGTCCGCATGGCGCACCCGCTTCGGATTCTCCAGTTGCAGGGTCCGCATGGCGTACCCGCGTCCGGTTCGATACACCCATCACACGTTTCGTGGCCCCACGGGGAGCTCCACCGAAGGTCCCAGCGGCAGGGTCCGCATGGCGCACCCGCGCCCGATTCAGCACACCCCAGACACGTTTCGTGGCCCCACAAGGAGCTCCATCGAAGACCCCAACGGCAGGGTTCGCATGGCGTGCCCGTGCCCAATTCAGCACACCTCCACACGTTTCATGGCCACATACGGAGATCCAACGGAGGCCACAGCGGCAGGGTCCGCATGGCGCACCCGTTCCATGTCGGCATACCCCTCAATTCTCCCCGTGCTTCTTTTCATTTGCCTCGCGGTACCCGCATTCTTTAATGGTTGGGCTTTCCGCCAGGATCATTTTCGCAACGTGGCCCCCCCAAAGGTCCGGGCCGCTTCCCATGGGTTGTTGATCCATGGCCGTGTTTTGACAGTCCCAGGGGCAGGCGAAGGCCCCCAGAGGCTGACGATTGCCTGAAGGCTGCCCGTCGTGCTTGTTTGTCCACGGCGCCAGGCTGCCGGGGCGCCAGGGTTTTGGGGTGCCACTTGGGACGCCCTGAAAACTGTAGTTCGTTGGAACTCAGGGTTTGGGGGTGCCATCTGGGACGCCCTGAAAACTGTAGTTCGTTGGAACTCAGGGTTTGGGGGTGCCATCTGGGACGCCCTGAAAACTATAGTTCGTTCGAACTCTTGTCGCCCCCCCCCCCTGAGGCAGGGCCCGCCGCCTGCTCCAGCAGCGTGGCGTTGGTGACTGGTGCGTCCGCCGGCCTCGGGCGCGAGGCGGCGGTGCAGCTGGCGGCGGCGGGCTTCCTGGTTTTTGCGGCGGCGAGGTCGGCAGAGCGGCTGGCGGAGGATGCCCAGACATGACGAACCAACAACACACACCCATACCCATAGGTGGGTCGGAAAGGGCTATGGGTGCGTGTTGTCGGATGGGGGTCCCCGCTCGAACGGGAGCGTCCCTAGGGTCCGACAACCCGTACCCATACCCATAGCCAGTCCTCCTCCCAACGACCCCCTTATGGGTATGGGTGTGTATTGTTCATTCGTCAAGACATCCAACGTCACCGCGTGTGGGTAAAATCAAAACGGAGGCTCTGCGCCGTTCGCGATACCTGGGGCCGCGCGCCAGGCAAGGGGACCGCCCAGGAGACGACTCATCATGCAAGTGGTACTTCGGGCACCCCGTATTGAAAGATCGGAGCCCCTTGTTGTCGCCTTTTTGGGCCTCCTGGGAGGCATGGCCTCATCATCACGGTTCGATTCTAGAATTGTGACCTGGGCGGAGAAAATCGCAGCTATAATTAGTGCATTGTCTAATTTTGTGGAAGCGGAATCAGTGGCCAGGGATTGAGAAACACATGAAGATGTGATACCGTCGACCTTCAACGAGGCATGCCCGACACCGATCAGGCAGTTCTGGCAGATGAGCATCGTTGGCTCCCAGATTCGGACTTTTCGCACAGCAGCAAAAACCTTGAATTCTCCACGAGCCTGCAGGCGAATTGCTCCTGACCCAGACTTCGGGAGGGTCGCGCGGCGCTGTTAACTTCGCGCTCCCAGGCGGGGAGGAAAAGGTAAGGAAGAGAGGGAGGAACGGGGCAGGGAACGAGGAAGGCGTGAAACGCGCGGCAGGGTGGCAGCAACGGCGACCGAAGCCCAGCGATTCTTTCCGCGCACGCGACAAAGCGAATTGGCAGTAGAAGTCTACACATGCATCCAGCAAGTGCACCAGGTCAAGTCATACTACGTAGCAGGAGTACTGCGAATGGCGCCGCGTCCCGACTGAGGGATAAAAAGACAAAACAAAAAGGCGCCGGGAACGAGCATGCGCCCTGGGAAAGGAGGAAGAGGGCGAGGAAGGGAGGTACGGAGGGAGCAGGAGTGAGCCGGGATGCGGAGGAGAGCAGCGCGCAGCCGTGGGGCGTGGGCCAGCCAACCCCACCGTTTGGGGCACGCGCACTGGCCTGAGGCAAGGGGCGGGGAAGGAGCAGGGGGAGGAGAAGGGAGAAGCGAAGAAGCGAATGGGAAGGAGCGCGGGCAGGACGCGCCAGGTGTCATTCCCCAACGAGCAGGCCCTGCGCGGCAGCCAGAGCACCCCCAGCTAGGGGGCGCTCCGCGTGTCTCCTCAGGGCCGCCCGCGCGGTAGCCTGGCGGGATCGCCGCGGGCAGGCGCTGCAGTAAGCGGGCCGCGCCTGGTGCTAGTAGCTCCTCTCCTCCTCCCCTGTCGCCAGCCTGCGCCAGTAGGCCCCCAACCCCTAGACGGCTCGGGCACAAGGGGAATGAACAGAATCGAGGTGGCCCTCTTGACCATCTCGTGCTCTCCGAGGAACAGACAGCGGCATAAACAGAATTTTTCGGAGCTCCGCGCTGAGTTCTTGGATCGGCGCTGGGGCCCTTATGGAGGCGCCTCTGGCGCTGCCCCTGGCGCGCTCCGCGCGCCAGGGAGGGAGGTCCAGCGCGGATCCAAGAAATCCGCACGGACATTAGAAGGGTTTGTTTCTGCCGTTGTTTGTTCCTCTTACTCTTGCGCCGTACCCCCCATTCCCTGGAATGCCAGGACGTGGGCGGCCTCCCTGTGCAGAGAAGAGCTATATGTTCAAAAGCAGCAGACGCCCCCATGAAACGAGGAGGGAATGTAGACATCGACAGGCCAGCGCCCGTTCACCTGGGCGTCGTCTGGGCGGGGTGCCAGAAGGCCAGGCTGTTCGAGCGTCGGGTGGAGACCCGCGCTGGTAGCGAAAACGCCGACTAACATTCCTAGCCGTTGTGCCGGTGAACCCGCTACCGGCGCCTGTTCACGGGCCTGCGTGCCGGCCGTGGCGGTCGCTGACGTCCTCGCGGCAGTGGCGGGAAGCGCTCTATCTCGTACACGGCCTTGTTGAGAACCCTGGCCTTCACCTCGCACGCGAATTCTTCGGATTCGAAGAGGAGCCCCAGCTGTTCATTGGGCTGCTTGTCGAGAAAGCTGGAGACACCAGGCAGCATCTCTGATTGGATGTCAGCCTGGTCTGCGGCTTCGCGTTCGCCTGAAGTTCGCTTGATAATTGTGGTCAGCACCCTAGGAGAAGTCCGGGGAGTAGCTGGTGATCTCGTGTTCTCTTTGCTTCCCCATGGATCGTGGCGCGCTCAGGAGAAAGGCTGGGAATGCGGAGGGAATTTGGTCAGATCTTGGATGCTCTCTCGCGTTTGTGTACTTTCCAGCAGCTTCGCCTCGTCAAGAGCTTTCCGGGGTGGCCCGAGTCTTCCTGAACGGCCGCCGGATGCCCGCGTTATGACCCAGCGGCCACCAGGCAACGAGGGGCGTGAAGATTAGGGGTGCGTGGATATCATGGCTGGGGCCACAGTGTGTGGCGCAAGGGGGGCGGCTTTCGAAGAGATCAGGTGGCTTTGTAGAAGGCTGGGGCTTTCTTAGAAGGGCTTCGAGGCTTTGAGAAGGCGTTTGAGACGCATCCGGGCGCTCCCAAGTTCTAAGGAGGCCCCTGCCTTGTCTAAGAGGCCCCCCGCCTTCTTAGAAGTCCTCCCTCCCCCTCGGCCCCCCTCCCCCCTGACAGCGCCGCCCGCACACCCCTCTCCCTACTTAGCCCCGCCCCTTCGGCGCACCCGAGAGGAGCTTATGAAGGAGGCGGACGCGGCTGGGCGGCCGCCACCGCGCATCGTGGCGCTAACTCTGGACGTGCGGTCGCAGGATTCGGTCCAGCGCGCCTTCCACGAGGTCCAAGAGCGAGCCGGTCGCCTCGATGTGCTCGTGAACAACGCGGGGGTCCTGGTCGTTGGCACCGTCGAGATGGTATCACGGGTCGGACCAAGGGGGGGGATTCGGAGAGGGGGGCCTGCGAAATCTGCTGCGTTCAGCTGGTTTCGGCCCCGCCGCGTGGCGCCTTCCTTGGTGCATTGGCGCCTCCAGAGCTGGGAGGCGCCATGGAAATCAGCCGCATGCAGCTGATTCGTGAACCCCCTCTTTACTTAACGCCCCTGTCGTCCGACCCGAGTATCGATGAGCCAAGCGGAGGATCTGTTCCAGACTAATCTGTTTGGTGCGATGCGATGCATGCACGAGGCTTTGTCGATGATGCGAGAGCAGAAGTCGGGATGCATAGTAAACGTGAGTACGATATTGGCTGAGATACCTACGATGAATCAGCCAGTGTACGCAGCGAGCAAGGCAGCGCTGGATGCTCTGACACTAGGCACCCGCGAGGCAGTGCGACCTTTCGGCATCTCGGTGCATTCACTACAGCCTGGTGGCATCGTCGACACCGCAATTGGAACAAATCTGAGCAACGGGAACCGTTTCGAGCCCGATGCCAATCCTTATCCTATCGATGCCCTGGTGAAGGAAAGCGTATTCGACAGGATCATCCCGAAGGGCCAGAAGAGTGCCGAGGTTGCCAAAATAGTCGTCGATATGGCTTTGGGGAAGGTCGATGTGGCGGTCATGCAGACGAGCGAGTTCACCGAGGAGCTGGCCAGGGCCAAGCTCAAGGACACAACTGGCAATTCTATAGTGGCACTTCGTTATTGATCTGGTTGCGCGGCAGCCTCCTCACAGCGGTACTGAGAGGAGGCGCGCGGGAGGCGTCGGCAACTTTTATGTCCGCCGCGCCACCTGGGCCGGTCGCCAAGAAGAGGGCGTCCTCCTTTCTCGGCAGCGTCCGCCCTTCGGATCCTGCTAGTCTCGTCTCGTTGCTGCTCGGGGGGACGACGCGAGGGGGCACGGCCGTCATTGTTGATTGTTGCCATACAGCCAAGACGCTGAAGTAAGAAGCAGTGTGGGTTCGGAAGGGGCTCGATGTTCCTCAGGTCCTTCCATGTCCATGGCGGTTTCTCCAGCGCTCCTCGTCCACGCAGGCGCTTTTTGGGCCAACGAGGTGGTCCGTTACTTCCTTAGTGCTCCTCACTTCAGCAGCTCAGCCGCTGAGTCACCGAGCAGGAGAACCTGCACCAGCATAACTTGTGGGAGCTCCCCGCTGATCTCTCGGGTCGGCGCTGGGGGCCCGGGTCGCGCGCCAGGGGGGGGGGGAGGGTCCATCGCCGATCGAAGAAATCCGCGCGGAGTTCGGAAAGCGTATGCTCATTCCGTGCTTTCCTTTGCTGCTTCATGCGGGATTTGTAGGTGGGCAGCCTTTCCCAGGGCACCCTTCCATCCATGCATCGCTGGCCCATCCTTGGCCACTGTCGCTGGCCATGCTCGCCGATATGGTTTCAAAATGGGCGTCCAATGTCAATGTCTTTGCGCCCGTACCGCGCGTCCCTCTGATCCTGTCGCGCGCGCTGTGCGCGTACTCAATGAGTACGCGTACAGCAGGTAGGGTATCCAGGTGACAGTAGGGAATCCAGGTGTGTGCGGCACGTTTCGCCACCGTGCCAGCGAGGCGTTTTGCGTGGCGACCCTTCGACAACCGCCCACAAGGTCCCTAGCGTTCGTCACGCTCTGTCACATGCTCGACGAGGCCCTAACACCTGAGAGCCGTAGGCACCTCTCCTGCCCGCATCCCAGAGGGCCGTAACATGCAATTTCTCGCTACCCAGATGCGACAGCCAAATTTTGCGATGCGGACGTTGGTGCCCCCATGGCTCCAAGTTGTAACATGTGACATCCCTACTTGTTGACGCTTTGCGTGTCTTCACCAGCCCATCCATAAAATATACCGAGGCGGGTTGTCTTGATCAGGACAGTTTAGAAGCATTCAGTGGAACACGTTTTGGATCTGCCTGCTAAGACCCACGACGAGGACGAGAACGAGGAGAAGGACGAGGAGGAGGACCAGGAGGACGACGAAGACGAGAAGAAGGATGAGGAGCAAGACGAGGAGGAGGACGAGGAGGAAGAGGAGGAGCAGGGCGAGGGGAAAGATGACGAAGATGAGGAAAGGGGGGAGGATCAGAACGCAGACTCTGGCAGTCATCCTTGGGTCTTCTGGGGGCCCTCTTAGGGTCCGCTAGGGGCTTCGCGGCTCTCTCAGGGCCCTTGTGGGGGTCGTGGGGCCCCCTTGGAGCCCTCTTCGGGGCCTCTTGGGAGCCTTGGGTCACCTCCTTGCGACATCTTGGAGGGCGTCGATCAAAAGAGAGGGGGTCTTCGCTTCGGTTCCCCGGGCCACTCTTAGGGCGCTCAGGCGCTCTTGGGGCCGCCTTTCAGGACTCTTGGATTTTCCCCTCGCATCTCGTTGCGCTTCCTCCTCAGGTGGATCGATGCCGAGAGGCCTCCGACATTGGCCTGGCCTCTCGGGCCGCCTCACCTCCTCATCCTCTTCTCCTCTAAGAACAGACGGCGACGCGGACGATGGTGATGAGGAGGCGGAGGAGGATGGGCCTTTTCCTTGTGGCCTGATGGCACCCGCATGGGCGCGAGCTCGTGGACAGGCACATGGCTCTGGCCGTTGCCCCCCCCTCCACCCCCACCCCTGCCCTGTGCAGGGCCTCTCCTCTGCGCAGGGAGGGTGGCCCCCCTCCGCGGTGGAGGGAGGGAGTAAAGCACGCCGCACCGACTGATGCAGCAAGCGCGTACGACCCGCCCGCTGTGGGGAATCGCCGAGCAAACTCGGCCGGAGCCCCACGGCACCGCCTTTGTTGTGGGTGGGTGGAGCCCCGACATCAGATGCCGTGACCGCAGCTGCCACTTGAGCCAAGGGCGACGGAGGAGGACAGGTCAGAAACACAGAGCACTGGGCAGAAAGCAGCTGCGACCGATGCGACAACCCTCTGTTCTCACGAACGTCAAAGCTTCCCCCTCACAGGTCGCTGCGCTTCCTCTGGCATATTGATGCCACGAGGCCTCCGACGTTGGCCTGGCCTCTCAGGCCGCATAACCCCCTCATCCTCGAACAGCGCCGAAAAGAGAGCGGAAACGCCAGGGAGGCTTCGAACTGTTCTCACCCCTCCTCCCCTCTCTTCGCCTCCCCTCCCCCATCCTCCGTCCCCTTCCCCCCGATCTCTCAAGGGCAACGTGTTGACCAGACCTTCGAGGGGAATCCACACATGATGACCCGAAGCCTCCTGGAGGCCCATCAGGGGTGGAAGACGCCCCCAAACATCGAAACTATCTCCTCCGACCTCCTCGAGCTCCTCCTCCTCCCCCTCCTCCTCCTCCTCCTCCTCCTCCTCCTCCTGCTCCCCCTCCTCCCCCTTATCCCCCTCTCTCCCCCCCCTTAGCCAGGAGAAGATGTGGCGGTCGACCAGCGGAGCCAGCGGCGTGATAATCGGCTGGCAGAGGCCCCGCGAGCAGGGGGGAGCGGCGGGCTGCGGACGGCGGTCAGCCACGCTGGCGTCGGGACTCAGAGGTGCAGCGGGACCGCCGAGCTAAGTGGCCCCTGAAGAAGCTGGCCCCGGGACATGCAAACAGCAGGCACTGGGACATGCAGACAGCAAGGCCGGCTGCTTTTCTGTCGAAGGTTCGGGCGGGCGCTCTCTACACGGGCATGCAAATCGGAAGCTTTCGGCTGCATGATAGGACCTCATTGGCGTTCATGCCCTCCAGTGTGTTTTCAACTGCGCGCAACATGCGGGAGTTTTGCCGCCCTTATTCTTGACGAACTCACGCACGTACTGTTTACTGAGATCGTGGCGCGACCGTGTACAGCAAGCTGCGGATTGACCCGCCAGCGCCCTTCGTGGGTTCGCCTTCTGGCGCGCGGGGATGACCTTGACCTTGACCTCTCTGGCTCCTGGGGCCCTCCCCCCTTGGACTTCCCCGGGACCAGCTCCTCGTGTTTGGTAGTTTTGTTGACGGCCCCAGGGCCCGTGCAGAGCCCCAGGGGCCCGCAACCGGCGAAAACTTTTCAGGACCCGTTGCTTTGTCCTTGATGTTGAAGGACAGTCGAGGGGGTGGAGCAGAACATGCCAGAAGAGCCAGCGTGGCGAGCCCAGGAACGGTGAGCCCACCGACCTGGAGATCAGCACGCTCGTGGTCCAGCGCGAGAAGGCGCGCGATCGCACCCGCGCCCGCCAGGGGCGGCTCCTGGCTCGAGAAGTGATGTTTGAGGACCGCGGATTGAGGTTCGAGGATCGGCAGTACCTGGTTGCCGAGGTCTATCTGGTCGTACTCGCTGTCAGTTGTATCGTTACTAAGCCCCCTAGAGTCTAGAGCTGGCCTCTGCTTCGTAGGGGTCTTGGTTGTCGTTTGACGTCGGATCGGTCCCTTGTTCTTGTTGCGCTTCAGGTTTCGCATGGTGGTCCTGCAAGTATGGCTGATATTCTTCCTCCTGGCATCTGTTGGATTCAGAATCGCACTGTTCCCCAATCTGTCAGGTCGCCTTTCGTAGCGTGATTTACGATGTCTACAGGTAGTACGTACGTCTGGGTGTCGGCACGCGGTTGGGAATGATCCATCCATTCTTGTAGATCGCCGTACCGTGGTTTGCCGCTTTCTACATGCAGGGCACACCGAACTTCTGCCTCTGTCGGTCGATGCACGGTGGGGTTCAGTCGGTCGGAGTCGTTTGGTGGGCATCGTGATCGCGGATCGAGGATCACGGATTTTGGTTGTTGGGTGTTTGGGGCGCGCTCGTGGCCATGGCGGGATCCCCCTTGAAGTTCTGACCAGAAGGATCCCCAGCACGTGTCCAGGGCTCCGTTTTGATCCAGGCGATCCAATTCGATATCGATTCTAGCCGGCCCGGTTCGATTCGATTCCGATGTTCCAACGAGCCGTTGCAGCCCGATGCACGCATTGGCGATCCGATTGGATTCCGGCTCTGTGCCGATGCTGCCCGTCTGGGCGCTGGGACAAAGATATCTCTGTTCGCGGAAGCAGACGCAGGACCAAGACGCTGTCGGCGACAGCCCTCGCAGGCAGGCAGAGCTGCTGCTGTGGGTGAGCTCACGATGCCGGCCGCAGGTCTAACACGATGGCATTTCGCGTGTGTGGCTTCCGATCTGCCTCAACTTAGGATGCAACTCCCGGGAGGTTACATTCAGCATCGGCGCTGCTGTATCGAATGGCCTTCGGACCATCCCGCCACCGAGCCTGGATTGTGGGTCAGAGTCCTCAGGGATGCTTTGA